AATCTAAAAAATCAACGGTATTTTGTAACGACTTCAAACTTGCACTTTGTTGTACTAAAATTAAATTTTGTAAAATTTCTGAATGAAAAGTTTGAAATTTTGATGAAAATTTTTTAAAGTTTGATTAATTTTTGTGAATATTGTACAAAGTTTGCAAGATATATTTCTAACGTCTTTGTTATAGAATAACCTATATTTAAAAAAAATTTGAGAAAATAGTTTCTGATTGAAAACATTTTGAAAAACTAAATTACGAATACTGTATGTAAATTTAGAAGAAAAAAATTAAGTAGTTAGGAGACAAAATTATTGCATAGATAAACATGTAAATTTAAAATAAAATAAATCAAATATTAAAGAGAAGAAATTAGTAATTAATCGGTCTTGGACGTTTTGCAACGGAAGATACTGAATTTGAATTTTCGTCGGTACCGTCTGCATGTGCATGTGTTTCTATTATTATATCATTGTTGTCAAGTTCATTTATTTGCTCGCCCAAACGTTGCAACGTTGAGCACGCGTTCATAACCTTGCCAGCAAAACCAGGATCGTATAATAACACCCTTTGTTGCGATAAACATCGCCACGTTCACCAAATAGTCTCTCCACTGGATTTCGGGCTTTGCATAGCGCCTCGTTGTACCGAAATTTAGGAGTACCCTCGGGTTGGTTCGGTAAAGGCGTCATGAGCCATGGCTCTAAGGGTTATCCAGAATCGCCTAAAAGCAACTTATTTTTAATTATGTACATTTTAAAGTAAATTAAAAAGAATACCAATCAAAAGCATGTTGCGGCTTCCATTGTCAAAAGCTCTCTGCATGACTCGCCGCACTGGACAGGAACTCCAAATATATGAGTCATGCCGTGCATCCGAAAACTTAGCATTCACGTTCAATATTTTTAAATTTGGGTCACATATCTGTAAAAATATAACAAATATTTAGCGCTAGACTTTTATCTAAAATACTTAGCTTACCATTTGCACATTAATCGAGTGGTATCCGTGGTGGTTCACGTATGCTTCCTCATGACTTTTAGGAGCCAAAATGGAAACATGCGTACAGTCAACCGCCCCAATAGTTCCTCCAACAAAAGGCGCAGGTGCTAAAGAAAACACTTCCTTGGCAGCTTGGCGGTCCACCTGCTCCATAGGGAACTTAACCTCCTCAAAAAACAGTCTGCTATTTATGGCATCAGTAACTCGAAGTAGGCAACGGCTTATAGAGGATTGGCTCATTGATATGCCTCACTGTTCCCCTACAGACCGTGGCATAAAATCGTAATGTACACAAAACCTTCAAAGATAAATTTTTAGTTATTTATACAATGTTTAGTTATTTGTACAATGACTTTGTGGTGTGGAGCAGATGGGGAGGGGGTGTGGCACCTAAAACCATACCCATTAGAAAGAACGTAGTCAAAACTTTAAGAAGATACATGCTTTCCCTCTCTGACCCCTCTAGGGACTCCCGGGGCCCATTTGAAAATGGATTTACCCCATTAGCATTTCGACATAGAACCCACACCGAAATTTATCAAAGAGTGCATATTTCAAACCGAATTTATTAATAAAATAGAGCTTGTATATTTGAAATCTTTGTTCTAAATTAAAGTTTAATCCTTGGAGTACACGCGTATGTTAAACTCTTTAGATTCGGGTGACGTGTTTGGCATTACAACCCATAATCGTTGTACAAATAACTAAACCCTACGCAAGAAATTATTGTATGTACATACATATGTACTACATATGTAAAATTGCATACTTTCATTATTTAAAGATTTACCTGTTTTTCCGCCGATATAGAGGTAATCCTTTTACCTTTCAAGGCGTCTTCCAGCCGTTCGACGAGCTCCATTACGGTCTCTGGGCCCACACGAGTTTCCGGAACTCGGAAGGCGCCAGCTCAAATGGATCGTCAATGTCTCGGAGCAAACGCCGATCCACTGTGGGGGTATTTGCAATCCCATGATTTCGGTAAAAACTAAACGCCACATATTCAAAAGCCATTTCTTTTATTTCCACTTTTGTATTTGCGTGTATTAAAATTTGTTTGGTTAACGCAAACTTAACAACACCAAATGAAATGTCGATAACTTAGCCACAGTCGAATCGTTAACGAAACAGCTGATTTTGAGTTAACGAATATCGATAAGAAAGTACTTATTGAATAGCAAAATCTTTAAAATTATCGTTTAGCTAAATTAGCGACTGCGAATGTCGTTAAAAAAGTTACCGAACCGCACTACAGAACGCAACCATCTCCGAACTCGAGTAAGAAAAAAAATTTGTTTTCTTCTCGAAGCATTGATCTATAATTTGCAAGGCCCACAGTGCGGCCGAAATCCAAAAGTGCGGCAAAAATTCGAAGCTTTGAAAAATGATTTGAAATTTCGTACCAAGTGGTTTTCCGGGTCGCTGATTTCAAATCCGATGTGAGATTTGCAAAATTCAAAATGGAGGATCCATTATGGCGACCAAATTTTATAATTTTTACCACTTCATCTTAAATTCATACATGGGAGGGGTTTTTGTAGATTAAATTTTATAATTTTTACCATTTCTCCTTAAATTTATACATGGGAGGAGTTTTTGAGGTCACTGATTTCGAATCTTATATTATACTTTTGAAATTCCAAATAGGAGATCCAATATATTGTCTGTTTATGGGAAAAATTTGAAAGTTCTTCCTCCCCTTTCCCCTTTTAAAACATTGCAATTATCAGAAAATTAAGTAATTATAAATAAAAAAGCAAAAAACAACAAACATTTCTTTATTAAAAATAAAAATTATTTCCTATGTACAAAGAAATACTACATGAAAGAAATTTTCATTTTCATGAAGGTCGGTGTTGCTCAAGTTCGACTTCCCTGTTGACAGACGGGGGCAACAATAAATTAACAGCTTCTACGGTTAAGGATTTAGGTGGTTTAACTGGCAATTTTCGGCAACTGGAAGTGTATGGGTCAGAAGCTACTAAAATCTTTTGAAAATGTCCTCCATTGTTTTTTGTCGATACCTTTTTCTAGCAAAGCTCACGCGATAGATCGAATAAAATTTATTGCAGGCCTCCTGCGCATCTTCAGACATTTGACCAATAGGTAATACTGAATTTTGTATGATTTCTGGACCATGAATCAATAGCTTATGTACTAAAGTAGGCATAAAGTACCACTTTTAAGTTTGTACAATTTGTTTAGCTAATTGCACTGTGTACTGCCGAAATTGTCAACATTGTAATATAATATAGAAACGATGTATAATATCCTGATCAATTCCAGTTATTTTTGCAGATTGTTGGTATTTTTCAAAAAAATGACAAGCTGTGTTACCAAGGTAACTAAAGGTATCTACACTTCAGCCCATTTATTTTTTAAGAAACGCTTGTATTATCTTTTTCCTTATTTCAACCGACTCCTTTTTCTCGTTTAAATTTTTCGATGTACAATCACAAAGATAACAACGCATCGCAGATGTTGTATCTAGGGATGCAAATTTTCAGAGCCAACATCGATACATCGATATTTCGATGTATCGTAAACACTAACATCGATGCCGAAAAAAATCGCCCTAAAACTATCGATACATCGATATATTCCGATGTTTCTCTTTTTAATAAGTATGTTGCAGGTACTTCATGATTTGCAGGCTTTTACAGGAAGCGGTTAACGTACGCCACCTTCCATAAGGTTTATTAATGGCGAAAACCGCTTTACCTGTAAAACCTGGAAATCCTGAAATCAGAGTTGGGCAAAATTTATTCGAATGACGAATAACAAATGAATAAATTGTTGTTCTTGTTATTCGTAAATAATAAATAATTTTGGTTATTCAAAAACAAATTATTCGAATGACGGATAAATTATGTTATTCTTTATTCGAATAATTATTATCTTCATTAATTATTCGAATAACGAATAAAATAATAATAAAACAAGTAATTTATGTATATAGATATGTACATATATTTATGATGATAACCGTTTTCGTTAACTCAAACCCCTAGATAGATTTAAATCAAATTTTCGGAGGTTATTTCATGCGCATTAAGTCCTATTAAAGGCTACCAGAAAACTCCTTTGTGGCGATGGAGCCGAGTTATTTATAAAATCCGTATTTATGAACTGATTTCGTTCAAATTCAAAATG